CTCAGAAGGCAGAGCAAACAGGCAGGTCAGAGCGTAGCAGGGCGCCCCAGGGAGATGGGGTGGGTCAGAGCCCAGCCTCTGCAGTCTGAATGCTCCCCCAACTCCCCGGCTGTGGGGTTTGAGCCCTAGCCCCTCACTTAGTAGCTCTGGGACTCAAGGCAATGTCCCTCAGTGGTCCTGCCTGGCAAAGGTGGTAAGACGTCCTGAAATGTGAAGCACTCAGCTGCTAGCAGAGTGCATACCTGAAGCCAGAGCTGCTAGGGTTCTCACACAGTCCGCAGGGCCTTCCCATTGCTTGTTCCAAAGGATGAGCCGTTTATGCCCCACTCCTGTCAGCCACCCATCTCTGCATTCCGCAGGGTGTCCAGCTTCTCTGAAGCCTGGGAACATTGTCACGGATTTCCGAGCACGGGGTATGGGTTCCGCGAGGGCAGAGACCTCGTTGGCCTCACCTCTGTCGGTCTCCTCCGCACTTGGCACATGGCCTGACTCCTGGAAGGAGCTCCTTAAAGAGTCATCGGATTAAAATGACCTGACTATTTAAAACACTGTGCTCCCTCGACGTCTTGTCTCAGTCGTGCTCCTGGCCTTTCTCACTGCCTTGCGAGCGCTACCCCTGCCGTGCCCACTGCCTCCCCTCCTTCACCTCCCAGACCTTCTTGTCCTCATTGGAGCCTGGCTGCCTCTTCCACCACTCAGCTGTACCACCCCGGCCAAGACCACCAATGACCTCCCGGCAGCTCAGTCCAGTGAGCCAACCCACTTCGCTCTCTATGTCACTTGGCTCTCCCCCTGCCTGTCTGGCCAATCTCTGGACCCTTGGAGTGTCCACGCCCAAGACTTCACTTACCACCACCATTACAGGAACTTGAGCAACTCTGATGTCTCCCGTTTGGGCCTAGGCCTCCCTCCTTACTCCCCCGCAGACACACTCTACCCCACACAGTCTGCATGCTGCCCCCAGTCTGCTCTCCTCCGGCATGCCCTTCCCAGTGAATAGCCCACCGTCCACCCCACTGACCCCAAACCTGAGAGTCCATCTGGACTCCTCCCTACTCCCTCCCAACTCAATCAGTCTCTGTGCATGCTTCTGGCCCATCTGTGATCATGAATTTTATGTGTCAACTTGACTGAGCCACTGACTATCCAGATATTCAGTCAAACATTATTTCTAGATGTCTGTGAGGGTGTTTCCCAAGGAGAGGGCCATTTGAATCAGCGCACTGAGTAGAGCAGATGACCCTTCCCCCTGTGGGTGGGCACAGTAGAATCCAATGAGGGCCTGAACAGGACAAAAGGGCAAAAGAGGGAATTTGCTCTCTCTGCCTCTGCCTCTGTCTCCCGTTCCCTGCATGACTGCTTGAGCTCAGACATTGGTCTTCTGCCTTCAAACTGGAGCTTATACCACTGGCTCTGGGGCTCTCAGGCCTTTGGGCCAGGACTGGAACTGCACCACCAGCTTCCCTGGGTCTCCAGCCAGCAGAGAGCACACTGTGGGGCTGCTCAGCCTCCATACTCGCAGCTGTATGAGCCAATTCCCTACCATGAGTCAGTCTCTCTATATGTAGAGAGAGAGAGAGAGAGAGAGATGTACAGCTATAGCTACATTTATACAGGTTTCCCCTGTCATCCCAAAGTCAAACATTCCTATGAAACCTTTCATAAGCCAAGGTGGTATAAAGTAAGGAAACAGTTACCATCAATTAAAATGTAAAAAATTTAGAGCATTCCCAGACCACCAAAAAATCACCTCTCTTAGGCTTTTCTGATACCTTACGCCACATCTTGCTAACGGATGCACAAAACAAATGGAGACAAAGCCCAGACACTTGGAGACACAGTCCAGAGCACGGGCAGCTTGGCGCTGAGATGCTGCGTGTAGCTGCCAAGGAAAGAGCTGGGTTCATGCCCTCTGGCTCCTTGTGGCCTCCATTAGCACTAGAGAAAAGACTGCAGTTCTGAGTGTGGCCTTGGCGGGAGCCCGCGTGGGCTGGCGCCCCTCTACCTTCCTAACCTCATCTTGCACAAGTCTTCCCGTACGCTACCCTGGCTTCTGTTCACTTAAAAACACGATGGCCTTGTTAGACTCCAGGCCTCTTTATGTGATGTTCCCCTGCCTGGCTTAACTGCCATCTATGCTCTTCCTACTCATCCGCCAGCTTTCCTCAGGAAGGCTTTCTCGGCCAGTCCCACTCCCACCCCCTGGACTTCCCCTGGGATACAGTTTAACATGCTCCATGACTCCGGCTTGTCTACTGCCTCCCCTATCAAGCTAGGCCCAGAGCTTCAGGCAGGTAGGACCCGGCTGCTGCCGCACTCCCTTCTGAAGCCCCATGGCCTGGCTTGAGGCAGGGACACCCCCAGCGTGGGGAGCACTGCTCAGCCAGCTCCCACCCCTGGATTCCCTGGGCCTCACAGGTGCTAGGAGGGGCCAGCCTACCTACTGTACTCCTATGATTCAGCGTGACCAACCTGATATAAAATGTTATCCAACCTCTATTTTTATAGCACATCGAGCCCAGTGAAACTGAATCCATCCCGCAGTCTGAACTCTTCAGAGAAATCGCTGAAAGTCACTGTTATTGGAGCTGCAAGTCTTGTGATTCCTGAAAACATGTTTTGTCCATGAAAAAAGAAAAATCTGAGGGGGTACATTTAGTCTGTTCTTCAGGCTTTGGGTTCTCACATCACTCTCCACAGAGGGACCCTGGGGAAACCATTCTGAAACCCAGTGCTCCCCCTCCAACCCCACCTTCCCTGTGGGGACCTTTGGCAGCTGTCCCAGGCCTGTCCATTTGTGGCTGGGAAGAAACTGCTCTGGGACCTGGTTTGAGACTGGTAAGGTGACCCTGTCTTTGCCGGCATCTCAGAGCCACCCCCAAAGTTTTCCAGAGTGGTGGCTCAGGGTTGGGAGAAGGAGCAAAGAACAGTTTTCTGGGCTGAATTCTCTCCCCATCCACCAATTCACATGTTGAAGTCCTGCTCTCTAATACCTCAGAAGATGATTGTATCCAGAGATAAGGTCTTCAAAGAGATAATTAAGGTGAAGTGTGGTCACTGGAGTGGGCCTTACTCCAATCTGACTGGTGTCCCTAGAAGAAGAGATCAGGACATGGACAGCACAGAGGGAAGACCCTGTGAGGATGCAGGGAGAAGGCGGCCGTGTACACACCAAGGAGAGAGGCCTTGGGAGAAACGGCTCTGCTCACACCTGGATCTCAGACTTCCAGCCTCTACAAGTGTGAAACAATACATTTCTGTCATTTAAGTGATCAAGACTGCAGTACTTTGTTTTGGCAGCCCCAGGCAAACTGATCCATGGAGCTGGGGCTCTGACTGGAGAATATAATCAGTCAACAAATCGCATTCACTTGAATGTTAACTGTGAGGCAGGCACTGGGCCAGCTTCTGGGGAAGAAGTGGTGAGGAAAAAAGTTATACATGGCCCTGCCCTTGGGGAATTAATAGCTGGGCAGGAGGAGGCGGGGAGCAGCTGGAAGGATGGACAGTCAGCATGAAAGCAAAAGCAAAGTGACCTCCAAAGGAGAGCAGCAGCGCCATATGCAGTCCAGGGTGGGGCCTGCAGGGCAAACCATCCCCGTCTGCCTGTCCTGGTGGGCACTTCCTCCTCGTGTGTCCTTGGCCATATGGCATGCTTCCTGGGCTATTGCAGGTCTGTGGGGAGGGTTGTCTCAGCTGATGCACCTACAAGGCCTGGCATACACTAGGTGCTCAATAAATGCTGGCTATAATCATTTCTATGCATCTACTCATGGGTCCCCCCACTGTCATCCCATCCCTTCCCTCCATGTGGACTCAGGCCAGCTGCAGTAAGAGTGTGGCAGTGGTACAGAAACCAGGGCTGGGGCAAGGCTGGGAAGAGGGGCCGCAGCCTCCAAAGCCACACCCCTGCAGCCCAGTCTCTGCCCCCACACCTGATTCTCTGTCTCTGCTCCCACAGGGACTGTGGAGAGACTGGGATGCGACCCTCTCTCCTCACCATCACCTCCTTAAGTCCCTGCCCGTGACTCACTCTTCCCTCTCACAAGCAATGCAAGTGCCTTGGCCCTGGAGCCTGTGGGCTTAGGGTACAGCTGGCGGATGAGAAAGGGAAACCCAGTCCTTTGGGTGGTACCCCAAGGGGGACTTGGAAGTCTGGGACCTCCCTCACATATTAGCTTCTTTGCCTGGGCTACCCTAAGACCCTGAGGCACTGCCTGGAATGCTTGTTTCTGGCAAGACCAGCCCAAAGTTCAAAACCCACATTCAGAATGTGTCCCATCTGAACTGCAGTCTGCAGGAAGAGTCACCCCAGAAGGTTGGCATTACTCACCAAGCCAGCCAGGGATAAGAATGGAGCCTGAGGCCTCTGGCTGTCATTCCTGGCACTTAGCTTCCACATTTAATCCTCAAGGAGGCCCTGAATTTTATTGCCATTGTCTCATCACCACCACAGCTTTTCCTATGAAAGCGTGGATTACTTTCATCACTGGGGATTGATGCGACTTGTGCCAGCACCTTCTCGTGGCTGTATTTCACTCCCCACCAACAGCTGGGAGTATTTGGGCCTAAGCCCACATTTCCTCCAAAAGGGGCTAAGGCATCAAGAGTCTCTGACTCTTCCTGTCCTAGAATTCCGGAAGCTGAGCCAGGGAAAGCCTATTATGTTCCACCAATGTAAGGCCCAGGAAAAATCCTCCCTCCCTCCCCTCCCCCAGCTCTGAAACCCAGGCGGGAATCTTTTCAGCAAGGGACACCTCTGTTGGTAACCTGGGATCAGGTGACAAGGAAGGGATTTGTGACAGATCTAACTAACCAGGGGGCTGGGTCAGGAGATCGTCTTACATACAGGGGGATGAACTCTACGCCCAGGACATTTCTGCTTCCTGCTTCTAAACTGGTTTGGGCTGTTTCCTTATCTACGGTCTTCCATGCCCCATGAAAGTTTGGGGGTCAGTGGGGATCCAAGATGAATGACAACAGGAAGCAACTGAATGCCATTTGCTCTTTATTATTATTCATTATCTTCTTGTACAGAAAGAGATGAAATTTAACAGCCAAACTCAACAATTATAGAGAGAAATCAGAAGCAAGTTTGTTGCCCCCAAGGTCCAGCGAAATCCTGACATATTACTGAAGGTACGGATTTCCCAGCTGACATGGGGCAACACATGAATACGAGCACAGTTCAAACTGGTACCAAAATGAATCCATTTCACAGTAATCATGTCTATAAGCTCAGTTGCACGTATCAGAGTTTCCACCATCACAAATTCATGATCACAGAGTGAAACAGCAGGTGTTTCAAGCCTGTGAAAGTGGCACCCATAAAGGGAGAGAGACTGAGAGGCGAAAGCTGTAGCTGATGCTCGGGCTGGGGGTGGGAGTGGGCTATGGCAGGTGAAAAACTGCTGCGGCACTGACCCCACAAGGCGTGCCACTTGCATACCTTTGTCAGAGAAATTCTTGCTGGAGAGAGACTCACCACCCACAGCCTGTGAATGGAAACACTCCCTGCATTTGAATATTTGGGAGTGAACAATGGGAGCAGCCAGTCTGACAGTGAAACATCTGTTTGACAGAATATTTAGCAAGATACACAGTTACATTATTTTAAATTGCAGTCTAACTCACAAACTATGTTATTCACAGGGTAAATAAAGGAGTCGGATGCAAAGCTGCAATACCCAACATCCTGCGTGGCAAGAGGCTTGCGTATGAGAATCGCTGAACCCCAAAGCTGAAGGCACAGTGAAGGGATCCTTAGTATCTTGAGCCTTCATTTGAAAAAAGTACTCATTTCAAACAAGATCCATCTTACACATATGGACCTGGAAATAGACTACAGGGGAGAGAATTTCAAATATTTCTATGGAGCAAGAATTGCAGATACCATGAATTCTGTGAGGTCGTGATTTTCCCTAAGTTCTGAATTAGTGCGCTTCAAATTAATGGGCTTTTACCATAGTTGCAGGCAGCCTGATTACAGTACTTTTTAATTAGCTAATTATACTGATTAGTGTGACTAGAGTTCAGTGGCAAGAATGCACTTGTTTCTGAATCAGCATGATCCTGACATGGAGCTTCATTACTTGTCAAGCTGAAGAGCAGCCTAGGCCAGCAGCCTTGCTGTCCAGCTCTCCCATCTCAGCCTTGAACGTGAGAGCACAGGAGACACAGAGCACAGGCCGGCTCCCAGAAAGCCAGAGAGTAGGGAAGGGAGTCTCTCTCAATGATCTCACTCATGCTCTCTCTCCCAGACAAAAGAACAATCAATCTAGAGGCAGTGTTGTTTTTTTTTCTTCTCATAGGATATGCCATTTGGTTGTCAAAAGATCAACCCCTGAGCCAGAGAAGAACCATCTGGCTCCAACTCCTTAACACAAAGACACGTTCCTGTCCCGAATCCCTCACAGTTGGTTACCAAAAAGCCACCATCCAAACAGTTGGGCACCCTGAGGAACTCACACTAATGGCCAGTGGAGGGGGAGGCCCCTGGCCTTAGGTCAGCCTGCCGGCTGTGTTCTCTTGAAATCCCCCAGTGAGGGGGAGCAGCAGGGGAGGGGCAGGATTGCCATTCTTGTATCTTAAAGAGTTTTTGGTTGAAAACAAGTGACAGTCAAATTTCAAGGAATCTTTTAAAGCCTTTTCCTTTTTTAAATGAAAAATATCTCAACAACTAGCCCCGCCATTCCCAAAGTTAATAGTCACACATCTTTCCACCAAAAAAAATTTTTTAAATAAAAATAAAAATGCTCAGGAGTGCTCAGATTTCCTTCAGCTGCTGATGCCCAGAGAACAGGAGCTGGGGCCCAGGCAGGGGGCACCGCGCCCGAAGGTCCCCAGGGCAGGGGCCCACCAGATGGAGCTGCCTCAGCTTCTTCCAAAGCCTTTTCCGAAGGGGGGCAGAGGCTCCCGCAGCTGCTCTCAGCTTTTCTTGCCCAGGGCCCTGTCGCCAGGCTGCCCAGCCCCCGGAGGCGACATTCCCCCCTACAGACCGGAACCCTCCTGGTACAAATATAGCCACACACTGGCTATTGTTTCAGATAAGCATGTGAGAAAAGGCAACGTGCACACATGTATATGCACACACACACATACGCACAAGTCCATGAACAAAGATGTGGCTACTGCAGATTTAGCACTGTATCAAAACAACATCCATACGAAGACAGTTTGAAAAGATATGTACAGAGCATTCATAAAAGCCAAACGTGCACCACAAGGAGTCATGACCACTGTGTGTGGCAGTCTTTCTTCTACAATATGCTGCAAAAAATATCCCAGAGGCCATGGTGGCACCTGTACCTAGAAGAGCCCCGCAAGGCGACTGAAGCAGAGCACACAGGGCTTTAGGGACACGTGCTGCCCTCCACCAGGCCGGGCTCTGGCTTCCCGCTCTCTCCCATCCCCACCTGGCTGCCAGCTCCCTGGTGGCTCGGCAGGGAACGGCTCAACAGATGCCAAAGGCAGCAGGCATTCCTCCGCATGCTCCCTTCGGCTCTGCTCGGTGGGGAGGAGACACACAGGGACAGGCATCTTCTCCCATGCTCCCAGGTCCCATGCAGGTACCTGCTTGAGGAAATGCTGGGAGAGCAGGGGCTGGCCCAGAGCTTCAGGCTGCCCCAGGTCCTCCAGCGTGGCCGAGTAGGAGTGACTCCAGCTGCCATCATGGAAAAAGGAGCGGCCTTCTAGGCCCCACATGCCTTTGTGAGGAAGGGCAGGAGCGCGGTGCTAGTGGCCCAGAGGGAGGAAATGAAGGGAAGGTGGAATGCCGCCTGGCCAGCACCTCTGGCATTGGGGAGCTCCCAGGGCTAGGGTGAGGACAGAAGGGGTCAGCTGGCAGGAGACTGACTACCCAGGTGGAGACTCAACATCAGAGTCATACGAAGGCCTCTGCTAAGACTGGTCCCCTATAACCGACCCATTTCTAGAAGAATCTTCCTAAGGGCAAAGCGCACAGGCATTAGCTGAGTCAGCCTCCCACAGGCCTGTGAGGTAGGGGGAAGGATGGAAAAGCCCAACTACAGGGCCACGCTGCCCAAGCTGGTGGTCTCGGTGGGACATGAAGCATGTCCTGGGACAAGTCCCCAGGGCTGCAGGGTCCTCCAGAAGTCATCTGGGGCCGCAAGGCAGGGCTGCACGCTAAGGAGGCAGCCTGATGCCCGCCATGGAGAGCTGTTCAGATAGAAAGAAGCTTGTCTTCTCAGTGGCGTTGAAACTGCTGTGGTTGCCAATAGACCCTGGCTGTGCACGCTTTGGGGCCTCACCAATATTTGCTACATTTTTTAAAGCACCACAGAGGACAAGTGGTTTGGCACCGAGGCCAGGAGGAGGGAGGCAGAGGGATTGGGGGAGTCAGCCTCCACAGTGTCTTTTGCCTGGTGTCTGACACTTAAAGGGCAGGTCCCCTCTGCCCCACTGCTGTGAAACCTCATTGACATGGAGAGGTGGACAGCTCCTGGGCTGCAGAAAGGGGTTTCTAAAATGGGCTGGCACCTGGCAACAACACAGCAAATCCCAGGTGGGCCTTCAGCCCCAGGTCATCGGCTTCACTGTCTCTTCCGCAAAACAATTTCTAACAGGGACACTGTGGAATCTTCTCCCCAGGTGAGCACCATCATTAAGGTAAAATCAACATCTGAAGTTCAAGTTCAAGTCAACGCAACCACTCACAAAAACGGAAGTATCCTAGAAGTTCGAAGCCAGGGAGCACAGAGCTGCGGAGGCCAAGACTGAGGGTTTAATTATCCTCAGAGCCGATCAACTTCACAAAGAGAAAACTGCAGTTCTCTGACCCAGCCTGTACCCCAAACCGCAAACATTTGGAGGCTGGCTCAGAAGCGTTGGCTTTCGTGGGCCTATTACTGGGCACCTGCCAGCCGGTAGCAGTTTCAGCACGGCCAGCACATGTGTCTGGACAGCCAAGGTCTAGGGGGGCCAAGCACAGCCAGAGCCGCCCTCCTAGATGGCAAGTTCCTGACGGCCCCTTCCCAATCTAGAGGAGGCAGCCCGGCCAGCCAGCCCCAGCCCCCCGCCCCACACACGCTGTCCCCCTTCCAGGTTGCTCTGGGCTGTCCTTTGACCTGGTCAGGAGTGTGGGGGATGGGTGTTGGTGGATGGGTGTGTCATAGATCTGTGTGACTGATTCCCCCTGCCCTCCCACCAATGGCCCAGGTTATAGTGTTTTAATGTGTTTGCCATTTATTTATTGTTAATTCTTTTTGTTTTCTGCTGAGTCCTTGCTCCTGTCCTCAAAATGTAGACCAGGACAGCAGCACAGGACTGTTGAGAAGCAAGGGTGCTCAAGGGCTGGCTTCTCTCCCTCCTCTCCATGGCCTAGGCCTCCAGACCCAAGACAGGTCTCCAGCCAGCTGCACGGCCCTGGGTCCTGAGCCTATGAATGCACTGGCCACAATCAACTCAATGGGGTGACTCCTTTGGCGTAAGAGAAGCCGGCTCCTGACAGGAGGACAGGATGGTGGGCGGCTTGGAGGCTTCTGGAAGAGCTGGGCTCTGCGGCCTGTGGCTCCCCACAGAGGCCTGGACACATGTGTGTTCTCTTCCCCCCTCCACCTGTCTCTAACAACTCACTTCTTATGAATGCACGGTTAGGAAAGTATTTGGCAACAAGGAGGCTAAGGCTGCTTTGTGGTGGCAAAGTCTTAAAAAAGTTAAAAAGAACATAGGAGACCCCTGAAAGAGGCTTTCACACCGGACAGGACACGAGTCCCACTACTTGTTGGAGCCAGGGTTGGCGGCCACTATTTCCTCATATTTTGGAGGTGGGTCACTGTAAGAGACACTCAACTCCTCACTGCTGCTCTCCTGGGGTGCAGTCACCTCCTCATAGGATGGCGGAGGCGTGGCACTGGACAGTCTGGAGAGAGAGAGCTCAGGGAGGTAGAGGGTGCTCTCGAGGCGGACCGTAGTTCTGCCCCCCCGACTGGGCCCCAGCACCACCTGTGCATTGCTCCCTGCCTCACGGTGCCCAGAGGACTCCCCCTGGCTATGCACAGTGCCCCGGTACACCATGACCCGGGGGAGGCTGTGCCCAGTGCGACTGGCTAGGTACCGGTTCTGAGCATATGACGGGTGATGACGGGTGGCTTTCTGCAGCTGGCACCTCCAGATGATGAACAAGGCAATGACAATCAGCAACGCGACCCCCAGAAGGGGCACAACCACGTACATGGCATCTGAGCTTTGCACAGGGTCTCGGACTGAGTAGACTGCGTTCGGGTACCCCTTCCAGAACTCCATCTGCAGAAGAAGAAGGGCCACTCACTTACAGGCAAGAACTCACCCCAGATGAACCTCAGAGACCCTCAGCAAGTCTGCATTATGAGCAGCAGGGCCTAAGGCTGCTCCCCACCCTGCCTGATCTGAGCGGCCTCTGAAAATCCACAGAGAGGCAATGGAATGTGCCAAGAGCAAAAGGACAGCACCCCCAAGTGAGGAGGCCCCCAGATTCAGGCACATGGGGCTTTAAGAACATGCTATCTGTTCTACGGCCCCAGTGACCCTGCCTCAAATGGGCTGGCTTTCCTTCATTGCTTCTGCTTCATCTGAGATGGCAGGGCCTACTCCTGTTGTCCCTGAGGCCACCTCTGCTCCCAGGAGCCAGCCCCAGGGTGGCACTTGCCGTCTTCTCCTTGTCCTCAAACACCTCCTTGACCTCCTCATAGCTGCAGATCTCCTCCATGCACTCCCGCTCGATGGCACCCTGGCGCAGCTCCTCCAGGAACTCATTGGCACGAGGGAATCGTTTCAGGACTGAATTGGCGTTCTTGGCCTCTAGAAACACTGCAGAGAGAGCAGCGCTGAGGCCTGGAATGGGCAGGTGCCCAGGGGCGCCTTCAAACCAGACTAGGCCTAGGCTCAGAAGCACAATGTCAGAGGGAAGCAGGGAAGACGCCACCCCAGACACGGCTGGCCCTTTATAAAAGGAACAGAAAGGCTGACTTTCTGGGAGGCCACAATGTATGTGCCTAGAATGCCATGGAGCCCACAAGACTCGGGCTTCTAGTCTGGAGGCTTCAGCTGGAGTGGGGTCCAGCTGAGAGGAAAGTGCATGTGGCACAGGAACAAGGGATGGGAAGGACTTTGAGTGTTGGAGTCACCAGTGAAAAAGATCCAGTAGCTTCTGCCTCACCTCAAAAAGAGAAAATTAGAGCCCTTAGGATGAGAATTTATTTCCCTTTAGAGCTAATGCTGGTGAGTAATAACAAATTGCCCCATAAAACTCTACCAGGGTGGCATCCCTCCACCTGAATAGCCAAATGTGACAGCAGATCGCCTGGCATCAGTGGCCTTGCCCACTGGAGTGTAGTACAAACCCATACTGGGGTATATCAGGGGACAGGATGCACATGAACCTGAGCGTGCCCCTGGGAAGGGCGGTAACAGGGAGTATAATCTAGGCACAGATGCCTCTGGCAAAAATGTCATTGAATGGTACCCATATCTACTTATTCCACATGGAGGAATTCAGCTACAGTCAAGCTGACTGGCAGGTGATGAGTTATGCACCCTCATCAGCCTGAGGTGGGACATTAGAGGATGGAAGAAGAGGTGACATCTGCTCCTGGTATTCCCCTAGAGATGGGATTTCCTAGTTCTCACATCAAGCAGCCCCTCTGGGTGCCCAGGGAGGCAGAGCTTTGCTGGCAGGCAGGCCCCATATCTGTCATATTAGTTCTTCACCCAGTAGGTGCCCATCAACAAGTGAGCCCGTGATCTGGAAGGGAGCGAAAGAGTTGAGACAGAAAAACTGCCAACTGCTCAACTGCCCAGGGACCACAGGGCAGGGGAAATCTGAGAAGGAACAGAAAGGTGGACTTGCATGTTTCCCATGAGTCCCTAGGCATGGCCCTTCACTGCTTGGCCTGGGACCAGAGAAGCTCACCTGCCATCATGCTCTCTCAGATCCAGTGTCTCAGTTGCCTGGCAAAGGAAAAAAGCAGAGTCACGATGATATCACACCCCAAAACCTACAGGGCATCTTCTTGACCCTGGGATGTGACCCCAGCCCACCAATGGCCTGGTCAAAGGTCAAAGCAGCGTGTTATGAAGCACATCACCCTCTGTGCCACTACTTGCAAGTCTACTGCTTTGTTCTTCCCCCAGATCTCCCCCTGAGCGCTCCCTGAGGTCCAGCAGAGTCCAAAGCAAACCTTGCAGCTATTTCTGCCAAGAACATATTTTGAGTGTCTAGAAGACCAAAGGGTTGCCTTTTTTCTTTAGCAAAGAAAACGTCCTACGAGCTGAGCTTACCCCTTCCCCGCTTCCTGTCAATGAGTCTTTGCACTTCTGTGTTGGAAGGACTTGAGAGATGGGGCCTTAGGCCAGGTCAAGCAAAGCAACAGTGACAGAGACGGGGTCTGTTGTTGGACCTGATTTTGCTTGAGATGGCAAGTCCCATGTACCTCTAATGACAAGCACATTTCTTGAAAACAGGCAGCACATGTTTAAGAAGTAGGCATTGACAAAGCTTATAATGTCTGTGACCATCATCTCAAAAGCCATGGCCCAAACTCAAGTGACCTGGTATGTTTATCTTCACCAGACAGGGTGGCAAAGGTCTTCTGAAAGCAGTCATATCTCTTCTCTTTGCATTAAGCACAGCGCCACAGAGTACAAAGACATTGGTTGGCAGGATGAAAACCAAGACCCTAACTAGACACAAGTGTTCCAAACAAGCTATTGTCTGCAAGCCTTGCTTCTGCTCAGGGATGGCCCAGCCAATACAGAAACCATAACCACAGCACACTCCTCGGCCCAGCACACAATCCCACTTGTGGGCATGTTTCAGAGCACTTGGCCACGCTGTCCACATCTGGGAACAATCCCTCTGCTGCTCCCCTCCCCAGGCAGAGCCTCTGGTTTAGGACATGTGAACGGTGTAACCCACTGTGCCACTGTTTTTGTCTAGGCCACCAGGGAAGTCAGCATTAACATTGACCATCAAGCACAGGCGCCCTGGAAGTCCAGCTGTAAAGCACATATGCTTCTCCCCTGCGATGTGGTATACCTTTCTCTGTTTATGTTTTCAGAGTGTTATGTATATTTAAAATACACCATCGAATCTTTGTGGCAAACAGGATATAAATCATAAGTAAAATTAAAGCTAAAGGAAAAACAGCAAATCTACCATTCATCCATGGGAACATCATGTCAAGGAGGCTTTACTCTTTTGAACAACACAATAATCGCACCCAAAACTATCAACAAGTGAGTCTGTCAACAGATGGGCCAGCCACTGTGAGAAAAGTTGACCCTCAAGGCTTTTAAGAGTAACAATGAATAGTAATTTCTGCTTCCATTATGAATATCTGAGGTTCCCCTAGAGCCCATGCCAGTCCAGTGATGAGGCTGTGGGTGTGGCATGCCTAACAGCAAGGTTTTAGATTGAAGAAAAATGGAGCTGCTGTGTCAGGGTTTGAAAAGAATGAGTAAAGGCCTTCCTCATAATGTATGTTGTGTTGTGGCTGTTTTTCATTGTTTTGTGTTAAAATTATACAGCAGCTTACATATAGCCACCTCTTGTCCCCGACACACCCGACTCTGGTGTGTGCACATCCACACATGTCACAGCCCCACGTGCACTATCCTGGCACCTGCAAAAGTCATCCATTCATTTTTAAGCTTCAAACAAGCCAGGAACTCCTCCAATGAGCAATTTCGTGGCCACCATCCATCACTGCTGCTGCTGCTCTGAGGCCTCCTCCCCAAAATGTAGCGCCTGCTTCTTCCCCTATAAATACACCATCAATAGGCTGTTTCTATGGTAACGGTGAGGAAGCGCGCGGGCTCCACACAGACAAGGCTGCTGCAGTCACGCATGTTTGTCCCTCCTACCCCAGTGGGTGCTGTAAGGCTGACTGTAGGCCAGAGGAATTCTTAACCCGCTCCCCACAGGAACACAGCTGAATCCTGAAGGCCTGGAAAGGAAGGAAGGCAGGGACTGGCCACCACAAAGACCTTCCTTTACGTCACCCCCAGCCAAAGCTTCTGAATCAACAGCAATTTGAGACGTCGTTCCCAAAGTCCCTCACATGGGTATTGGTGGCCATTCCAACACCTGCTGTCCAAAGACGTGGCCTCCAAGCCACCTCCAAATCCTGGCCCTTTTTATCTCCCACACTCAGAACTCGTCGCTAGGAAAGGCTCCTCTGATCTCCAAATCTCATGACTCATCAACCCACCCACTGCCACGGACCTCTCGAATTAGGCTCCGACTCAAACTCCAGCCCTCCTTGTCCCCCTCCACTCATGCCAGCCCTGGCAGTGCCTGTCCTCGCCCACTGTGGCCTGCCACCAGTGCCCTACCCACGGACTCCAGCAATAATACTCTTCTCCCGGGTCTGCTCAAGACCCCCAGCGCCTTGGCCCGGCCGGGCCTCCAGATACTCCCCCCAAAGTTCCCGAAGCTCAGCTCCGCGGCCCTGGCCACGAACCGTGCCCTCGGAGTCGGAGCACCCAGCCCAAACGGCCTCCCCGATCTCCGGGCCGGGAGGCGGCCGCCCCGCTCGCGCACGCAGCCCGCCACCTCGCCGAGGCGCCTCTGCCAGCAGGGCCCCTGTCCCCGCCCACCTGCTTCCCGCCGGCCGAGCCCCCCGCCCGCCCTTCCGCCGCCCCGGACGCCCCGCTGCCTGCCTGCCGGGGGCCAAGGTGCGCCAGGTGCCCCCGCCCTTCGCAGCGGGTGCCCAGGCCCCGCCGTTACCTCGGCACCCCCTGCCCCCGCGCCCCGTGCCTGGCGCGTCGCCCTCGAGCGCCACGACCACCGGCCGCGCTCGCCAGGCCGCGCTCCCGCGCCGCGCCGCGCACCGGACCGCGGAAGGAAGGGGTGGGGGCGACGACAGCGGCCCGGGGGGCAGGAGAGGCGGGCCGGCTCGCTGGGCCGGAGGGGCGGCGGCGCGCACCGAGCACCGCGCGCCCGCGCCCCACTCCGCCGGCACCGCCCCTGCCCCCGCCCGTGCCGCCAGGGGCGTGGCCTGGCCGGCGGACCCGGGGCGCGCCCGGGCCCCTCGGCGGGAGGTGGGGTCCCCGTCGGGACCCTAGCTGCGGGCCCTCGGAAGCCCGGGCGCCACTGCGGGCTCCAGCAATCGCGCCCACGGCGCGCGCGCCAGGCATCACCGCGCAGACCCCCCGCTGTCCCCTACCCCAGCTTACCTACCATTCTGGCCGCCCTCTGACTGCCAGCCCAGAAGGGAGGGGAGCGGGCCCGCAGCCTGGTCCCGCCTTGCAGGGTTCCAGCGGGCCCGCCGAAGAAGGGCCACGTCGGGGCCACGTTCCGCCAATGACTGGGTGACCTTGGTCTCGTCACTTACCTCCCCTCAACCCTGCCCTGGGACAGCAGGCTTCTCTCCTGTCAAATCTGGAAAATGGGAAGAATCCTGCCTCCCTCGAGGGGTTGCAGAGAAATAAAAGAGGAAACGGGCTTGGAAGACACTTAAGGCGCTGAAGGGGGTGAGGAAGGAATCTTCTGGGCCTGCAAGGGGAGCGATGGGGGATGGAGGAGCTCCGAGAAGTCCGCCTAGTTGGAGGTTCAGCATAACCGGACAAGACGCAGGCAGCAGAGAGATGACACTAGTCCTGGGAGTACAGCCCACAGGTGGACTGCTAAGAGAGGGCAGGACTTTCTGGGGGAGCTCAGGTCTTGAGGGGGCAACGCCTCTGCCCCAGTACACCTTGCTAGGTTTTCCCGGGCTCCTCTTGTTGTCTGGACTTCTGAAGCCCACTCAGCAACTGAAGTTGGTGTTATGAGGCAGAATGAGCCAGAGGAGCGTCCCTGGAACTGCCCGCACCCAACTCCAGGCAGAGAAACACCAACCTGGATGTGGAAAAGAGAGAGGCAAGACCTCCATCCAGTCCAGCTCCCAGGACTGGCAGAAGGCCGCCTTGACCGGGGCTGAGCAGACGCTGGCCCTGCCCGCCCGGCCCTCTCCCTCTCCTCCCGCCCCCCAACCCAGCGCCCCCAGTAGGGCTTTCTCCTCCATCCCAGCCACCGGCTTGCTTGCTCTTCCTGGGCTTTGGGAGCCCTCCTTGCCCAGGACAGACCCTCTGAGTGAAGGCAGGAGGGCCACAGCCCCTGGCCAGTGGGGCAGGCTTCCACAGAAAAAAACAAGGTCCCTTGAGGAGAAGAACAGGCCTTCTTTGGGGCCCAGTGGGCTGTGTGGGTTTTAGAGGCCCCCTCAGTTGAGTGGGGAGAGCCTGGGCCCTGGTAGGTGGGGAGACAGTTTGGGGCCCTTCAAGAACATACACGCTGCTTCTCCTAGTTCATTACCATGTCCTGATCCTGACCTTAGCAACCACCGTGTTGACAGGCAACTTCACCCAACTTTCGGTATGTGAGGCAGGGTCTCGGGCCTCCGCCATCCTCCCAGCACCCCCACCTAAGCCTCAGGCTCCAGCAACACCAGTCTACTTCCCTCTCTACCCGGGAGCCTTGCCTCCCACGAGCAGCCTCTGGGCACTTGCATTCATTCTTCCCACACAGTTCAGACAATATCTCTACTCTGAGGCCTTGCGGGGCTCTCCAGCCCCACCCCTGCTGACTGTTCCATGCTCAGCAGGCACTCGGTCTGCAGGGACTACAAATGCTGGCCTCTGCCACCAACGGTGGGAGGATTAGGAGCAACAGCCTGCTGGCTTCAACTCAACTCTGGGCGGGACCACAGATCAGCAATCTGATCTTCAGCCAGTGACTTAACCTGTCTGCATCTCAGTGCCCTCCTCTATCACATGGCAATGCTGAGAACAGTACCTGACTCAAAAGATGGCGGAAAGGGCGAATGGGATGATTATGTTAAGTGTCCTCTCTATATCAGGGCCAGGGATCTTGTCTCCTTGGGTGTCCCTGGTATCCAACACAGAGCTTCATTTCTTGTAGGCCCACTAGATGCTTGCAGAGTTGAGGTAGGAGAGGCTGGGCTGGGGTGAGGAGCTAGAGTGGGGGTCAGTCTTCAACTTAACATCAGGACGTTGTCCCCAACGCCAGCAGCAGCTCTGGCCCCTGCTTCCTCCAGACCTTGGCTTCCTCAAAGGGCTTTTCAACTCCCTTCAGGCTGGCTCCAGGCACTCCCAGGGAACGACTGGGGAGGGTTGGAGCCCTCCCTCTCCCCACCTGCTTTCAGAGCCTAGTCTGAACAGTCTTTCTCTGCCCCAGGAGGGGAAAGGCTTGGCCATTGGCTTCTGCACTCAAAGGGCTTTATTTTTCCAAATGAAGTGCAATTACTTTAGTCTCCCCGAGGCTACTGCACAGTTCAGATCTTCATTATCTAAATCCTGGAGAGAAATTCTGGTCTTTCTGTGAGCCCTCACTCAGTCTCTCCCATCTCCATCCCACCCAACATGCACCCCTCTCTTACTTGCTCCATTGGGGATCTCAACAGACACGTCTTGGCATATGTCCAAATCACATGCATAGGGCACTAAGGGTTGTGGGAAGATCCAGCTCCAAAAGAGTGTGCAGTATAGTTGCTAATAATAGAAAAGAAGATGGAAAAAGGCAGGTCATGCTTCAATAAAAATCCCCAATAGGTGCAAGAGGACAGATCTTCTAGCCCAGCCTGGTGCAAACTTCTAACCTGTCTCCATTTCTGCTCCAGATTCCATCTGGCAGAAACAGCTTCGCGAGTGTTGGACCTATGGAGATGGACAGGGTCCAGTGCTTAGAAAGGTTCCCTACACTTGATTTAAGGCTCTGCTGTCACCATCCTGAAATTCTTCATACTTCTTGAACAAGACACCTGCATTTTCATTTTGCATGGGGCCCTGCGCAGTATGTAGGTGATCCCACCCACTGGTGACATTCTCAACGTCCTTGATCCTATCCCGAGATCCCAATCATCATCCTACCACTTTTCTGACTCCTCCCTCTTCCCTTCTGAAAGTCTTGGCCACTCCCTCCTTACCTCATCCCTCAACTGCACCAAGTCCATCATCCTCCCCCCTGTGGCCTCTCTCTAACCCCATCCTTGTGCCTCATTCTTTGGCTGAGACGAGTACCCTTTTCCAGCCTCATTCACTCCTGGCATCTCACTGTCCACCCAACCCTCATCCATCCCAGACCTACACTGTTCTCTGAGGTCTACTGCTCCCCATCTTCTGTCCTCACCGAGCCTCGCCCCATCCCAGCGCCTGAATACAGATCCTTAACCCATAAGGGCATCAATTCACCTCTGCACCCTGATTAACCAATTAACTGTCTGGAGCCTAGTGGTGTCCCCTCCTGAGTCCGTACACTGACGTCCCAATCCCCTGTAGCTCAGAATGTGCCTGGATTTGGAGATAGTGCCTCTAGGGACTGCTTAAGTTAAATGAGGTCATTAAGGTGAGCCCTACTCCAGTCTGACTGGTGTCCATATAAGAAGAGGACATTAGGACACAGACACATAGTGAGACTACTGTGTGAGGTCACAGGGAGAAGATGGCCGTCTACACACCAAGGAGAGAGGCCCCTGAATAAACCACCCCTGACAACACCTTGATCTCAGACTTCCAGCCTTCAGAATTATGGGGAAATACATGGCAGTTGTTGAAGCCACTCAGTCTGTGATACTTTGCTATGGCAGCCTGAGCAGACTAAGACATCAAGTCTTTACTTAGGGCTGCTACATGCCAGGCTCCATTCTAGGGCCCACGATTACAGAAGCCAACAAAGCAAAACAAAACAAAACTCCCACCTGTGGAGATTTGACTAAAAAACCAAAGAAGTCATAGACACAGGACACTGTGCACTGCCCAGGCCTGTGGTGAGCAGTGAGGCCAAGAAGGGTCTCAGAAGGCGCAGTATTTAAATACAGCCGTCAGGGGAGACTCCACTGAGCAGATGGCATTTGGGCCTGGACCCAAAGGAGACGAGGGGCCATACTATTCCAACCGAGGGATCCACGCATGGGGAAGTCCTGAAAGCCAGCGCCGGCCTCGCAAATATCACAGGAACATCTAGCCCCTGCTCTTTGGGTGTAGACACCTTTAAGGGGGAGGATGCTGACAAAAGATCTGAAAGAGCAGATGACAGTGTGGTAGTCGGAGCAGCCAGAGCTGCCTCTGTCGCTCTGCTCAAGCCAGGGTGGCCTTCCTGCTAATCCGGAAGAGCCATAAACATGTTCCCACCTCAGGATATTTGCTCTTGCTCACTCTCTCTGGAATTCTCTTTGTTCAAAGTGCGTAGCAGACATTTATTGAGCACTCGCTATGCACAGCTATGTTCTTGAGGCTGAGGGCACAGCAGTGAATCAAATTGACTAGAGGCCTTATCTTCATGGGTGATACAGTGAGGGAAGACAGACAATGCACTAACAAACACAGGCACATCTTGGCGACATTGTGGGTTTGGTTCCAGACCTGCCTTAAAGCCAACAATGCATACTGAAGGGAGTCAAATGAATGTTTTGGTTTCCCAGTGCATATGAAAGCACTCTGCTGTATAGACTACAATACACTCGACTGTAGTCTATTAACTGTGGTAGCATTATGTCTCAAGTAACAATGTACACACCTTAATTAAAAATTACTTTATTGCTAAAAAGAGCTAACTAATCATCACCTGAGCTTTCCACAATATGCCATCA